CGTATGGATATCTTTTCTTAAAATATCTTGCCAAGCGTACTAAAATCTTTTTTCGCAAAACTCGGATTTCAGCTGATGCATAGCCCATCCCTGAGGGCCGCAGTCAAATGGTTTTCCTTTGCTAGAATGCCTCAAAAAGCCAAGCGTGTCCCGAGGCGGGGGCGGCCGGGGGCGGGGGGGCGGGGCCGGCGCGGGGGCGGTGGGGGCGCGCGGCCGGCTGCCGGAAGGAAACATATACGGTCCATAGCGGGTCGTGCGATGCATCTGAAATACCATCGTTTTCCGAATATAGCGTTTTATTCTTTGCCGACGCATGATGCATCGCCAGACATGCGTCGTCATTTTTCGTCATAGAAGGAACATCAAGCCGGCCACGACCACGGTACCTCCACTTTTTGGCGTGTGTGCAGGTGCAATTTGTCGATTTTGTTTCAGTAATGGTCTGTGGATTGGCGTATTCGGCTGACTAGGCTGAGCAATAGCTTCTCCAATGCCGCTGTCGCTCACTGACCTCTCACCATGATATCAATGTCATCGTCCCAGGAGAAACAGCTCATGGCCACATGTATAACCTTAAAAGAACGTATACTAGTTTGAAATTAGGAATAAAATAAACGAATAAATAAATGAATAAATATGATAATGAATGCATATAATAATAAAATATTTAAATAATTAAATAAATAAATTAAATATTAACCGTCCCCGTTGACACTTGTTTATTCTCTACATGTATAGTCGACTACGGTGGCAATGCGAATCGCTTATAATGCCTATAGATCGATGACTTCATGTTTGTAAAAAGCCATCCTTTAATGAATTCATTGAATAGAATTGCTTCTATCAGTCAAGCTACACAATTCAAACAATAAGAAGTTTCAGTGTATTTTTTTATTTTTTTTGCATTACATAATCACATATCGTATGTTTTAGCAAACACACGATGCAACGTAGTAAAATCCGTCAGACAGTTTAAGCGGCATTATTACCGTAGAGTGCGCCTCAAATACAAAGTAAGAAATGTTGTTTTCCCGAAGTATCATATCCAATATCTTCATCAGTGACATCATCTCCAGTATTGTACTTGCGTGATAACACGAGGTAAAATTGTGCTGTCTGTCCAAGGAAGCGGTGCACGTCGACATTCGTTACTTATGCGGTGGTGGCACGACTGGATCCACGCGTCCTATCCCGGCGTGAGCAGACTATTTGTCACATGGCTCGCGTATGTATCGTTCACGATACATATCATATCGTGCTATGACTACCGGTATTGGCATACAGAAGCGTTTGTCATACACAGCAAAATAGAAACAACGAGCTGGCTCCGTGTCATCGGCCATACTTCACCGCGCGTTCCGCATCTGGTTTCACCATTCACGCCCCGCGTTGAAACTTGTCCAGGTAATAATATGGTACGCGAGTATGGTGCGCGATGCGCGTATTCGTCTCTTCCTCTTCGGCGTGTGTGCATTGCAGGCGGTAGTGCGATTAGTGGAAGGTGAAGGACGGACCTTTTTTATGCGAAATCCTTGCGATATGGGACGAGTTTGAGTAATAGCATACGTAATTTAACAAATCACGGGAAATTCCCTATTCCTAAATGGGATTTGCCTACTAGAATGACAACAACTAAAATCCATTTTACATGCCAAAACATTCACTAATACTGGATTTAGTCAGATAGTTGCTCTCTGCTTATTATAAACTATAAAATAATAAGCAGATATAATTCCCACATTTTCAGTAAGCTTCCCGTTTCTGTGTCTTGTAGTTGAGCAGAACGTCGCGCTTACCCACAGTATGTTTCGTCTTGTAGCTACGTATACAAACCTGGTCAGGCCACCAGCTCTACACCGCCGAAATTGTCTTCTCCTCGCCAGCCCGTAGCGTCCGGGTCGCGGGTACTACGTGTGTGATACAACAGTTTCTCTACTGACTTGATTCTATCATCGCTGAAAACTTGTAACGTGTATATATTCCGCCACAAAACTCGTTATTTAACAAACTGCGGCAGTATGCAACCACAGCGATACCCTAGCCGCCAGCACAAAAAATATCTGCTAGAATTGTATACTTTGTTCCTCAGCCCTAACATGCGGGTCTGCCGCCATGCGCAGTTACACACTAAATAACTAACTATTTTGCATCTCACACACGCATTATAAAATGGAGCCGGCGGTACCCGTGTGAAGCATTTCTGGGATTAAAAGTCTATTTGCGATGCTCTTGTAAAAGATCGAGTATAACGCCCTAGCTTGCACGCTACCCCGGACAGAGTGGCGCGTCTTTTCTTTTTTTTCTTTTTTCTTTCTTCTCTGGTGGCCCGCCGCTGTTTCCTTTTTTGGTTTCTTTCCTTCTTTCGTTTTCTGGCCCCGTTTTTCGGTGTTTTTCTCCTTCTATGGCGCAATTCTCCATATCAGACTATATGTACGCTGTAATATATTCGCCGCCAAAACTCGTTATTTAAACAGCGATATGCGGGCATATGCAACCCAGGATATGACTGCCTGCCACATTATTAGCAATATCTATAGAACTTAAGATTTGCTTCCTCAGGCCTAAATGCGGGCCGCGCATGCCGCCAGCTAACTCACTAAATAACTGTCTATTTTTGATGCACAAAAACGTAGTTTGCAAATGGAGCGGGGCTACTCGTGTGTTAGATTTATGCGGATAAAACGTTCTATTGATATTGGGCTCTTGTAAAAGATGTACAAGCGCCCTGCTTCGCAGGTCGTGTTTCTGGCAGAATTCTCTCAGTACATGCAGGTACGGCCTAATAACCGCGTTTAGAATACAATCGTTGACAGTTTACTACATTTACGCGCTTACTTCTTATACAAAAAGTAAGTACGCATGTGCACAGACACGTACAAAGATAAACGTATTATTATAGACCCTTACTTAGACTTAGACAAGTGTGCTGGAGTGACTAGGTGCACCCGGCAGATAGGTGCGGGGTCACTCCAGTCACTCCAGCACTGCCTAGGCAGTCAGCAGGCCTAGGCAGTCACTCCAGCACTGCCTAGGCAGGCAGGCAGTTCACTGCCTAGTCACTCCAGCACACTGGACCTGCACGTGTGGTGAAAGCCTCAAAGCGTCTCAGGCCTACAGGGCCTCTGGTCAATAGAGCGCATTCCAGATGTCTTCCATAGTCTTGGTCCTCCCGGCAGTCACATTCGATGCACCCAGTATCAATGTCATCCCCACTCTCAGCATAAGGTGCCCTGCCATCGACAACTCTGTCCCTGAGTGATTCTTAGGCCATAACCGGGTATTGCCATGCCTGTATTCATCTGCTCGGCCGTGGGAGGATTTCCTGGGACACGAGTAAAGCCTCATGTTGGCGTTCGCCATAGAATCTCAAAAATTCGATCAAACCACACATCGCTCAATATATTAAAAACAAATAGATTGATGCAGAGTTTTATTGACATTTTGAATTATATTGACACAGCAGAGAGGGTACATCAGTCATCATCCGTCCACTATGATTGGTGATGTTTTATTCAGAGACCCGTAATTAATTTTGATTAAATATAATCACGAATTAACCAGCAGCTGCCTTATTATAGCTACGACGAAAAGCAAGGAAAGCGCTTCCTGTTGTACGTCCAGTTAAAGAAAATATTCTAATCAAATACAAATTGATCGGCCGAATGTTGACGATAGTGTGCTACAGCAACCACGTGACCGCATAGACTGGTTCCCTACTTTTCACTTTGTTAATCGTGCGGGAATATTTCGCACTCGTTCTTCATAGTAGATTTATCACCGACGTAACGAGACAGGGAACCAGTCTATACTGAGGTCATGATGTTGTTATGTTGATAAGTGAACGCGTATATGAAAATTAACCGGTGCCTTCGTGGTTGCATGCAACATCTCAGCTTACAACACCCAGTATGGACTAAATTACTACCAGAATGATCAATACCACAAGAAATATCGCGTTTAACGAGTGTGTTTTTTTCCTAATCGACATAAATAAATGATGAATAGTTAAATGCAATACACGTAGGACCAGAAAATAATTACAAAATCGAATACGCGCACTATCTGCACCACGTATATAAAGTTATAAGAACCGGAAGTATGCGTTATGAGCGATATAATAACCGGATGTAGACGTTACGAGAGACGCTGACTATGCCAAATATTCAATTGCACGGCGTGTTATCGATTGAATGCAAATCACTATAAGTACTTCGACATGCGGTTGGGTACGCGTGATCTAGTGCCGGTAACTACACCGTATGAAGCTGTCGACAGTGATACTATTTTTACTAACGTGAAACTACGACGAATTATTAATTTTCGAAAAAAAAAATTCCCCATTTAAGAGTTTTCCATCATCTCTCTGTCGCGCCCTTGATCGCGTGCAGTAAGTAACCACTGACGCTTTCATCGATAATGATGATGATGATGATGATGTCCAATCCGCGAATACTCTGAATCGTCTGCTGAGGTATGACGTCACTCACATCCGGACACGATCAGAAAGCGCTCGACCCGCATCCGGCTGTAAACGAATTTGTATGTGGCGTCATTCGATATGTAGGCAATCCGATTATATAATATAGTAGTTCGTGATACGAGATATGATCCCGACTACGACCCACTAATCCTTTCAAAACTGCTAATTGAACGCGCATGGGGCTCTTTTCCATGAATAAAAATGTATGCTGCCGAGTACTAAGAGTAGACATATAGAACACTAACGACACCTCTCGGCGTAAAAGAAGTTTAATGCTAACCTTTCTCATTGCCTGTCGGATTTGCAATAAACGATCGGGGCCAATCCGGAAGATGACGTCACTCTCTCGCTGTATCCGGGACAGCAGGGGGCGTTGCAGAGCGGGACACCCTTGACGCTTTTCCAGCCGGCCATGCAGCATCCCATCTATACGAAATATAATGTTTACACCTGTAGTCGAGGTCGACTGAGAATATACTGTGATCAATATGTAATGATAGAATGCAGGCACGTACGCGTACACGCCATCATGACACAGCCAGACGTAATGATGCACGCACGCAGACTCACACACACACTCATGCACACACACACACACACACACACACACACACACACACACACTAATAACTGCGTCGTGGCTTTTAAAATGACTATTGCGAGATTTTTGCCAGAAAAACTAAATATAGCTGAATATATGTGTCTCACCTGACAGCGAAATATCAGCTGATTACGACCAACATTAAAAATACTAAATTTATGCGCGTTATAGGATAGAAGAATTGATATGAACACATCGTAACAGCAATGCATTTATCGTGTCGCGACAATGCCTAATGGCAGAATTGGTAAACTTGTATTTGTGTCGGTGATTAATTGAGAACAAGTGGCATGATTTGAGAGAGCCATGCCTTGTCTATGGCAGATAACGGTGGCTACAAGCTAATCCACACTTCCGCCTAGTTCAAGATAACAGAAAACGAATGTTTACGAAACTAGTTCGAAACGCAGTAGTTTCGAAACTGGTAGTTTTTGGTGAATACGAAGATTCTAAGACATTTTATTGTTACTCTGGACAATTGCTGTTACCCACGCAATAACGATAGCTGTCATGAAATTGGTGAAAACACTGGAAAATTCTCGCATAATCGCTTTATAATCGATAGTTATCATGATCTAACTTAATATACGTGCTCTGATAATGGTAACTGGCGGTAAACAAAGATGGAGCCACTGAACTGTATATTATAACTTTCTCTCTCCTCATGTGTCTCTGTCTCTCCCCTCACTCTTCCCACTCTTTCCCTTTCTCTCGTTCTCGGAACCTCTCCCTCCTCCTTTTTCTCTTTTCTAAACGCTGATAGCGATACCACGTTATATACTATTTATTTATTCATACACTCACCCACACACGCACGCACGCACGTACACACGCACGTACATACGCACGTACGCACGCATGCACGTACATACGCACGCACGCACGCACGCACACACAAGCACATTAACTTTGTTACATTACATTTCCTACATGAGCAGAAATTTTGGAAATATGGTGGTACATGGTGATATGGTGGTACATACACGAAATTTTGGTGATATTGGAAATAACGTGATATGAAACACTAACCTAACTCACATTCGTTATTCCTCATTTAGATCAGAAACGGGGCGGAATCATCGCACCTCACGCTTACTGATTAGCGCGCGTGCTGGAGGCTGAGAGACAGCTCGCCCCTTGACCAATGAACGCTATCTGAAATTACTGTATGAATGTAACGAGCGGGTCGTGTTCGTGGGACACGCTCTTTTCAAGCAACTCTTGGACTACTTTCACAGTGCAAAGAAATATTTCGAGGATTCACGCTTCTTGTCTCGTGCGTTTTTGCTATACTATTGTACATGGATAGGGCCCGGACGCGTCGGCGACGTGTCGCCCAAATGAAATGACGTAGGGCTGACGTTAAACATTTAAAAGAAGCATGAGTTCTATGCGTGGATTACGCTACGAAAGAATCCTAATCATATGTATACTGTGAGAATGTGTCGTTTTAAATTAATTAAACTAATTTACCGGTGGTTGTAACTGCCTAACCTTAATAGAATCTCAAAAATTCGATCAAACCACACATCGCTCAATATATTAAAAACAAATAGATTGATGCAGAGTTTTATTGACATTTTGAATTATATTTGAAATATGTACACGTCTTTCTGTAAAGGAAGACAAGGTTTTTAATAATATTCCGCCAACCATACACATTGTAACGCCACCAACATGTTATTTATAAAAACTTTTTATAAATAACATGTTGGTGGCGTTACAATGTGTATGGTTGGCGGAAAATATGGTGTGTGTTTGTAAACCGACATATGGTTGGATATGGTGTGTGTTTGTAAACCGACATATGGTTGGACACTAAATTGACAAACCGTACACCATTATATGACTAGCCTATGTGGAATGAAAAACGATCTTTATTGGCACATCACGAAAATGACAAGTGAACGCGATACGCGCGGGCGTCTGCTAACGACGCGTTTTAACTCGTCATCACGCGCGTGATTGTGACGATAGATCGCGCTTTTGTTGACGCGACGCCGAACACGTACGCTGCCGTTGCTGTGCAAACAGCGTGAATGAGACGCCGCGGCCATCTGTAAAGCATCCATTCATCCGCGATGCTGAGAGAGCGAGCTGCGCGCACGACAACGATTCAATTGCGGCTGACGCACTTAGCACCGCACACATGAAACCACATTGACGCGGTGAAGGGGAGAGTGACGCGGGCGCATCTATGAAATTGAATTCGAATTGCGTGTGGAATGATTGAATGAAGTCAAATATTTACGGATAACAATGCGTAACGAAAGGTGCGATGGGAGTAGAGGGAACCTACGTCTTCTACGTGCTATCATGAATGTCATCTATGAACAATAAGAGGAAAGGAGTTGTTATCAGAGCAATGGATAGTTTAAATATTAGTCATCGTCCTAACTTTCCAGATATAAACCGTTGTCAGACCGAGCCCAAAGATTACTTCTTGTCCTAACGTTTTGAGAAAAACCGTTGACCGAACGATTGTTATACATCTCAATCACACACTCTAGCTCTAACCTTTTGTGCTAACCCGTTGGCTGGAGCACAGGCACTTGAAGCATTTCAACTGTAAACACACGCCGGCGCCATTGCGCGCACACTGACACATAAATATAGAGTCAGTGTGCTCTATATTTATGTGTCAGTGTGCGCGCAATGGCGCCGGCGTGTGTTTACAGTTGAAATGCTTCAAGTGCCTGTGGGCTGGAGTTTTCCATTAGTTATACTCGTGCACTATACCAGTAACTCTCATCCTATAACGTCATAGTGGAGTTCGGGGTAGTGATTAGCGCGTCAATTAATTAATTAATTAATTAATTAATTAATTGTGATTAGAATGTGACGCTGTTTGCTATGCGTGTGATAATGCATGCTGTCTGTTGATAACGGCAAGAATGAATATTGCGCCCGTTCACCACTGTGTCAAAATCAAAAGGTCATTCCTGTCGCTGATTAATATTTTTCTGTCTGTCCAAGGAAGCGGCGCACGTCGACATTCGTTACTTATTGCTGGTGCTGGCACGACTGGATCCACGCTCCTATCGGCTTGAGAGACTATTTTCACATGGCTCGCGTATGTATCGTTCCCATACATATATATCGTGCTATGATACGAGATTGCATACAGAAGAGTTTGTATAATAGCAAATAGAACAACGAGCTGGCGTGTCCGTGTCATCCTACTTCACCGCGCGTTCGATTGTTTCACGTTCACGCGCCCGCGTGGAACTTGTCATATACATGGGTACGCGAGTATTGTGCGCATGCGTTATCGTGCTCTTCCCTTCGGCGTGTGCATTGGAGCGTAGTGGATTAGTGGAGGTGAAGGAACGGACCTTTTTTATGCGAAATCCTTGCGATATGGACGATGTTTGATAATAGATACGTAATTTAAAACACGGGAAATTCTAGTTCCTAAATTGGATTTGCCTACTAGAATTGACAAAATAAAATCATTTTTACATGCAAAACAATCACTAATACTGGATTTAGTCAGATAGTTCGTCTTGTTATACAAACTATAAAATAAATAAAGCAGATATAATTTCCACATTTTACAGTAAGTTTTCCGTTTCTGTGTTTGTAGTTGAGCAGAACGTCGCGTTACCCACATATGTTTGTTCTTGTAGCTACGTATACAAACCTGGTCAGGCACCAGTCTACAGCGACTTGTCTTCTCCTGCAGCGTAGCGTGGTACTAGTGTGTGTACAACAGTTTTGTACTGACTTGATCTATCATCGTTGAAATTGTACGTGTATATATTCGCCACAAAACTCGTTATTTTAACAGATACTGGGCATATGCAACCCAGGATATAGCCGCCTGCCACATTAGAAAATATTCTAGAATTGTATATTTGTTCCTCAGGCTAAAATGCGGGTCTGCGCATGCGCATTTACACACTAAATAACTAATATTTTGATTCACAAACGTATTTAAAATGGAGCGGGGGTACCCGTGTGTAGATTTCTGGGATAAAAGTCTATTGCTATGGCTCTTGTAAAAGATGGTATAACGCCCTAGCTTGCACGGTACCCCGGACATAGTGTTTCTGGCAGAATTCTCATATAGATACATGTACGTGTATATATTCGCCGCAAAACTCGTTATTTAAACAGATACTGGGGCATATGCAACCCAGGATATGACTGCCTGCCACATTATTAGCAAATATTATAGAACTTAATATTTGTTCCTCAGGCTAAAATGCGGGCCCGCGCATGCGCAGTAACTCACTAAATAACTGTTATTTTGATGCACAAACGTATTTGAAATGGAGCGGGGGTACTCGTGTGTAGATTTATGGGATAAAAGTCTATTGATATGGCTCTTGTAAAAGATGGTACAACGCCCTAGCTTGCAGGTCGTGTTTCTGGCAGAATTCTCTCAGATACATGAGGTAGGCTAATAACCGCGTTTAGAATAAATCGTTGACAGTTTTACGTTACGCGCTACAGAGCTTCTTATACAAAAAAGTAAGTGTGTGCACAGACACGTACAAGATAAACGTATTATATAAACATGTACTTTTTAAGATTATTTGAATGGCATGCCGATTATAATTAATAAAGTAAGGCATGAAAATAGAAATTTATCATAAAGATGTACTCCCGAGTGTGTGCTACAAGTGTATAGTTTCAAGACAAAATTATGTGTGTATATGTCTTATGGCTTCATACACTACCTACAATTCCCGACAGTATATTTCAGCAGGTAGACATAGCATTTAAATATTAGTCATGCACGAATCCATTAATAACCCTAAAAACTTCACTGGA